ATATATATATATATGTATATGTATATGTATATATATATATATATGTATATATATATGTATATTGTGTGTGTGTGTGTGTGTATATATATATATATATAGTCTTACACTTGCAATCTTCCCATTTTGTTTTGCCATGGCTCCTCCTGAGTCCTTTCCTTTGCACAACGAAACTACCAAAGAGGAAAAAAGTTGAAAATCGTTTCACAGCATCAATTGATCCTCCTAGACTCTTTGGCCCTCCAGATGTTTTGGACTTCAGCTCCCAGCATCCCTACCAGTTGGGGTTTCCCGGGAGTCCTGGGTTCTTGGAGAGCCAAAGGACCTGGAATCTTTCTAAGTCCCCCATCTGAATTGGGAAAGCAACCCCACGGATCTCGGTCCTCTTCCTCTTCCTTACAGGCATGGAGTCTGCGGGCATCCACGAGACAACGTACAACTCCATCATGAAGTGCGACATTGACATCCGCAAAGACCTCTACGCCAACAATGTCCTTTCCGGAGGCACCACCATGTACCCGGGCATTGCGGACAGGATGCAGAAGGAGATCACAGCCTTGGCGCCCAGCACCATGAAGATCAAGGCAAGTCCAGCCGGTTTCCATTGAGGGTTGTTGGGTTTGTCTATGAGTGTGCAGTTGTGTCCTCCGTGGCCCCAGGTTCTCATTAGCATTGCCAGATCTGTGGCTTGAATCTCCTTCTCCAAGGAATCTCAGGGTGAGAGCACAGTCTTTTAAAAAAAAGTGTGTGTTTCTATGCGATTCCCTGCCTAATGTGTTCGACTTGGGGTTGCTTTTTTAAAATGAGCATGGAGTACTCTGTGCAGCTGTGGTTGATGGTGACTGTGTCAGGCTTAATGATGATGGCATTATGGGGTTGCCCCAAAGTTTTGGGTTTTGGCCCAGGGACAGTCTTTTGACCTGGCAACACTAGCCTTCACAGCAAACGGTGGAAACAAGGGCATCGGTGTGCCCATGGCTATCTATGCTGGCACTGCTTGCCTTCATGGCTGGCATCCCACCGTTCTCCCAGGAGTGGGACGCAAAGCACCTCAAAACGTGATTAAAATCAGCCAGAGGAGTAAAGAGGCTTGAGCATTGGACTAGGACTCTGGAGACCAGGGTTCGAATCTCCACTTGGCCATGGAAACCCATTGGGTGACCTTGGGCAAGTCCCACTCTCTCAGCCTCGGAGGGAGGCCATGGCAAACCCACTCTGAAGAAACCTAAAGAGAAAACCCCATGATAGCTTCGCCTTAGGGTCTCCATATGTCAGAAATGACTCAAAGGTATACGAGAACAATGAACTCCTGAATGGCAGAGGGTTCGACTACACAGACCATGAAGCCCCTTGCAATGCTAAGATGAAGACTGCCATCCTCCGAGGCTGAGAGAGTATGACTTACCCAAGGTCACCCAGTGGGTTTCCATGTCTGAGCAGGGATTCGAACTCTAGTCTCTAGAGTTATAGTCCAACCATTGCACCATGCTGGCTTTCCTGAAAGATGGTCATCCAACCTCTGTTTAAAGACCTTCCAAAGAGGGAAAGTCCAGCACCCTTTGAGACACAGGCCAATAAATAAACGGAAGTCTGCTTTTGAAATAAATCCTTAAACCAGAAAGTTAAATTGTAGAAACTGGATGAACACAGCAGTACTTATTGTTGTGTGCCTTCAAATCTTTTCTGACTTGGGGCAACTCTATGGCAAACCTATCATGGGGTTTTCTTGGAAAGTTCAAGCAAAAATCCACCAAACAGTAATACCTTTTTTGGCCAACCGAAATACACAATATTATACTTGTTGCAAGCTTTCGAAGCTCCAAGGGCTTCTTCTTCCTCAGGCCAGATGTGGAGCTCCGAAAGCTTGCCACAGGTATATTGTGCATTTGGGTTGGCCAATAAAGGTATCACTGTTTGGTGGATTTTTGTTTGAATTTGCTAAATGGCCAACACAGCTCCCTTTGCATGTTGTCTTGGCAAGGTTTGTCCAGAGGAGGTTTGCCATTCCCTTAGCACCTCTCACGACGCTTCCCAAACTTTGGTCCTCCAGATGTTTCGGACGTTAGCTCCCAGAATTCCTGACCATTGACCAAGCTGGCTGGGGCTTCTGGGAGCTGAAGTCCAAAACACTCGGAGGACTAAGTCTCGGAATCCCTGACAATCCCGAAACCCTCTGTCTTCATTAGCAACCCCTAATGCTTGCCTCTGCAAAAGCATTCCCCCTCATCCTTTCAGGGCCAGAGATGTGGGACCTCAGTGCATTTCCCATGGGTTTGTTGTGCATTCACACACTCGTGTGCGTGTGACTGCTTTGTCGCACAGTGCTCCTCCCTTGCACTATCTGCACAAAGCGCTACACGCCATTGACCCTGTGTTTTCCCCAAATGCCTTCCACAGATCATCGCTCCTCCTGAGCGCAAATATTCGGTGTGGATCGGCGGCTCCATCTTGGCTTCGCTCTCCACTTTCCAGCAGATGTGGATCAGCAAACCCGAGTACGACGAAGCCGGACCGTCCATCGTCCACCGGAAGTGCTTCTAAGAGACGGACGGACGGACGGACGTTTCCGCGGAACGGAGGGGCCTTTCCTTCCTCCTTTTACAGTCCTTTCTGACCCTTCCCCAACCGAAAAGCATTAAAAAAACTTTTTTCAAGCCACAGTCGTCCGTGACTTTTTTGTAGAGAATGCAAATCTTGGTTGATTCCATTCTTATGGGAATTACTGCAGATACTCAAGTTATTATTATTATTATTATTATTATTAAGTCCAAGGCAGCTTTTGCGGCCAAAATTATAGATTTTGATATGACCCATGGATAAGTCGAGGGTAAAACTTAGGGGCATGTAATGAAGGATGTAAAGGATGAATAATAATAATAATAATAATAATTCTAGTATTATATAGTGAAGCAAGTATTATAGAAATGTAATGAAATCTAATAAAGGCAATACAGTTGCCCCTCCAAATTTGCGGAGGATCCTTTTCCCATGAATTGGGAAAATCGCCAATATTGGAGCCCCATTGATTCCAATGGAGGTGTGCTCCCATGCGCGGCAAGGCGTTCGCGCCTCGGGTGCGCATGCCATTTTGTCCCTCACGGCTTGCCATCCGCGAAGGAGCGAGGGACGCGAATGGCAAGACCGTGAACGGCGAGGGAAGAGCGTACGAGTTTATTTGTAGAACAGTAATAAATCTGAAAATAGGAAAGTCAACAATTATAGGCACTACTACGCAAAGGGTGAGGGATAGGAAGCCATTTTATTAAGATTTAATGATGTGTCTGGAATGGATGTGAGTAGTACAGACTGTAAGGGTTTATATGCAAACTAATGTCTTTCTATTTGCATTTTTCACTTTAATAAAATATTTATTAATTAAAAAAAAAGGATGAAGCAAAGGAAAACAATGCCACAGAACTGACAAAATCCCAGAAGACAAACTGTTTGCCTTCATAAGGTTGGATGGATGAGAGAGTCGAAGGGCAGCAGCAGATTAAACCCTTGCCTATATATATATATAAATCATATATATATGATTTAAAGTACAGTACTTACATTGATAAGTCGACTTAGAGTTGTTTTTTTTTGGGGTGTGTGTGTGTCCATTTTTTAACCTAACTTTCCAGACTTATACATGAGTATATACAGTAATGACTAATGTAATCACTTTTCTCCCTCTGGTGAGAAAGTCCTTGAAAATGCATAATTTTCAGTTCACGATTTTTTGAGCAGGATTTTCGCAGCAAATATTTCCTGCAGATGACATGTTTTTTCTGGAGTGAAAAGGGTTTTTCCTTGTGCGTAAAGCCGCATTTTCTGCGCACACAAACAAACACAAATTGCTCTTTCTGCATCAGGATTTTTGAAACTGGGGCATGCCTTTGCGGTTGCATTGTTGTGTGCCTTCAAGTACTTTCCAACTTATGGCGGCCCTTTCCTGGGGTCTTCTTGGCCAGATTTGTTCAGAGGAGGTTGGCCAACATTGCCTTCCTCTGAGGAGGCTGAGAGAGTGTGACTCGCCCAAGGCCACCCAGTGCGTCTCCATGGCTGAGCAGGGATTCGAACCCTGGTCTCCAGAGTCCTAGTCCAACACTCAAACAACCACTACACCACACTGGCTCTCATAACAGTACTACTAGCAGTAGTAAATTTCAATGAATCATTTAAATTTACTAGCAATACTGAATTTCCCTATTCATGTTGCTTCCCCTTCACTTAGTTGCAAAGAACTTTTTTTTAAAAAAAAAAAAATATATATATATATATATTGGACTGCAGGTCCCAAACTCCCCAGGAATCATGCTGGATGATGGGGGGGGATTCTGGGAGATTCAATACTAAATTTCCCTATTCAGTTTGTTTCCCCTTCACTTAGTTGCAAAGAACTTTTTTTTAAAGAAAATAAAAATTTTTTGGACTGCAGGTCCCAAAATCCCCATGGGTCATTTTTTTTGGGGGGGGGATTCTGGAAGCTGTAGCCAAAAAAAAAAAAGAGAAATGAAACTTTCCAAGTTCTGCTATACACAAGAGATAAGGCTGGCGGGGGAGGCTTACTCTATTGCGCCTCGATTTCCGGTGCTGCGGCGACGTCAGTCTGCGCGCGCAGCGTCCCATCTCTCTGAGTCTCTTGCTCCGCAAATGGCTGCCTCCAGGCTGTTCCTCAACAAAAAGAGCCGAAGCCCTTTGACTGCCAAGGTTCGCGCAGGCGCAGTGGCCCTGCCGGTGGCTGGCCAAGATGGCGGCGGGGCTGCGCTGTGTGGAAACCGGCAGAAGGCTTTCCATCGAGGGAAACATCGGTGAGGAGGCCACTGTTGTTATTATTATTATTATTAGCCCAGCTCGCACATTGTTTTCTTCCAAAAGCCTTTTTTCTTATGGCCAAATGGGTGCAAATTGGGCTAGCAATAACAATAACAACAACAACAACAATAATAATAATAATAATAATAATAATAGCCCAATTTGCACTCGTTTGGCCAGAAGAAAAAAGGCTTTTGGATGACATGAGGGGAGAGGCATTAAAGAGAGGAGGGGGATTGGTGTGGTGCCTCAATGCAAAGTTATTACCCTTTAATAATAATAATAATAATAATAATAATAATAATAATAATAATAATAATAATAATAATAAAGACCCAGAATTGACGGAGGAAGAATGGACTCCTATAGAAAAATATTTAAAGTCAAGATGGGAATAAACGGGCAAAGTAAATAAGTTATAAACAAATTAGATATACAGAAAAGTAATTGTGTAAACTAAGAAATGTTATTTGACTGTTATAAGTAAAGGTGCAATTAATAAGATAAGAAATATAGAAAGGATAAATTTCAAGGGGTGAAAAATGTGTACTTACTTTCGAAGAACTAAGGAGAAGTGTATAGAATTATGTATAAGTATTAGATGAAGATGAATATTTGTTATAAACAAGTTATATTTTATGTATATTTATAAACTAATAATAATAATAATAATAATAATTTAATGTAAGTACAAAAGTGTGTGTGTGAGAGAGAGAAGAACCGAGAAAGAGAGAGAAAAGAGGGGGAATGAATGCTTGAGATTCTTAGGATGGAGTTCTGAGGTTTGACTAGATGACCCCAAGGGTTCCCTTCCCTTCCCTTCCCTTCCTCTGAGGTTCTGTGATATGATTATATGCTTGGCATTTATATTCTTATAAGTCAGCCATGGCTCAGGTTCCTGTTGGTTTATCCCAGACAGAACAGACCCATTGGATCATTTGTTGACTGGCTGGTGAGTGAGGAAATGGGAAAATCTCTTCTATTCAATAGGACTACTCGAATTGGGACTGAACAGTCAGAGTCAGGGCCATGTGTCCAAAAAGGATACCTCCTTAAAGTTGGGGGTCTGTAAAATACTGAAAAAGTAGCCTCTAAAAACTGTTTGAGCATCCAAAATGGAGCAAGGAGAGTAGATGGTGGTTTTCTTATTCAGATGTTTTAATTGTGCTTACTTTAATCCATTTTTAAAGGGGTGGGTGGGTATTGGTTTAGGATTTTATACTATTGGTTTAGGATTTTATACTATGCACTTTTATTGTTGTTAGCCGCCCTGATTGCGCTCAGAGGGGCGGGATATAAATAACATTTTATTTATATTTATTATTTATTTGAAAGGTAGGCCACTCATTCTTCTTCCCAAATGGTCTGGAGAGTGGTGGTGCTAGAAAGGATGCTTGGACCGGTCATTCCTACAGCCTCATGGCCTGAAATGCTCTGAAATGCTAAGCCCCATCGGTAGGGCTCTGACGCAGTCCTTTTCGCCAAAGGCTTGTAGCTTCAAAACAATGAAAAAGCTCTTTTTCAGAGCTGACTGGCATTCTCTCTTCTTTCTCTTCCAGCTGTGGGGAAATCCACATTTGTGAGGCTGCTCCGCAAAGCCTTTCCCGAGTGGTGCATGACTCCCGAACCCGTCTCCAAGTGGCAGAAGGTTCAAGCTGCCAATGCCCATGCGGTAAGAGCTGAAAGATGACGCAAACTTTCCAGGTTTGCAAGGCTAGCCTGGTCCAAGTTTTTGTGTTTCATTGTGTAGCTTATACACGGGGGGGGGGGGGGGGGGGGGGGGGGGGGGGGGGGGGGGGGGGTGTTACTGAGCTGTTGTTTCCTTTGACCATTGAGAAAATAACCAGAAAGCTTGCCCTCCTAAGCAAGGCACTGGCTTTGATAAAAGAGGCCAGAGCCATTTGGGATTTTCTGCAGTTCCAAAAGGATTGTGTGTGGATCTTGTGCCAGAGGTGTGTATTCAGCCCAGATAAGGCTGTGTGTGGTCTGTCAGGGCCATTGTGTGAAGCACTGCATTTGCATTTCTTTACTTCTACACAGTAGGAGGTTGGTTCACCCTGCTTAGGAGTATTTAAACACTGCAGCAGATTTGGCTCCTTTATTATCTTAGCTCTTGTTTCTCTGTCCATATTTTGAAGCTGTGCTGCTTCTTCCATCTTTCTCTTGTCTTTTTAAGCTTGTCTTTCTAATTCTTCAGCAGGCCCCCAGTTTTCAGAGCATTGGGAACTTGCTCCAGATGGTCTACCAGGAGCCCACGAGGTGGGCCTACACCTTCCAGACCTACTCCTGCCTGAGCCGCCTCAAAGCCCAACTGGAGCCTCTGCCTGCCAAGTCCCAGGAGCCAGTGCAGGTTTTTGAGAGATCCATCTATAGTGACAGGTATGGTAACAGGAGCATTTTTATGGAGCCAGTAAATCAGGGCCATATAGATGGAGAAAGGGAGATTTTTCCCAGCTCCACATCCCAGCTGGACATGTGAAGTCCTGCAGGCAGTGGGGAGGTATGGAGAAAATTGGGGGGAAAGATATTTCCCCCAAAACTTTTTTCTTCTGGAAAAGGTATGGGGTATGGAATTATTTTTTTCAGAATGATGAATGAAATGTTTAAGATTAGGCTCACAGATTTGTCTTGTGTGCCTTTAAGTTGCTTGTCAACCCCATGAATTAATTTCACAGGAATCCTCAGAAGTGGTTTTGGGAGTTCCTTCTTCCGAAACAGAGCTTACAGCACCCATTATTCTCTGGCAGTAAGAATGTGTTCCCTTTGACTCAGCTGCACCAGGATATGGCATAGGATCACCCCTGGATTTATTGTGCCCCAGAAACCTGCCTTGCTTGAGTTGGAGTTGCTGCCTTTACCTGCCTGATCCTTAGACTGTCTTGACTTTTCTGAGACTCCTCTGGCTTGGCTGTTGTTTTGCAGAGTCATAACCAACCAACTTGCTTCCTCTCTTTCCCAGGTATGTCTTTGCGAAAAATCTTTTTGAGATTGGCCACTTGACAGAGACGGAGTGGATCATCTACCAGGACTGGCACTCTTTTCTCCTGCAAGCGTTTAAGGATCAGCTTAGCCTGCATGGCTTCCTGTATCTCCGGGCACCTCCAGAGGTAATTGAAAACCCAGCCAGTAATAGGTCGATATGTCCATTGCCTCTGTTCTCATTCCCAGTATTCCAACTGATGTTGCCAAAGCAGTTAAAGTGGAATCATAGCACTATAATTGTGGTGTTAGTGTCAGTGACCTGCTCAAGGAAGAGGCTGCCTGCTGCCTCTGTTTCTGAGTTGTTGTTTCAGCCTCAGCTGGAGGCAGGTTGTTCTATGGTTGTTGGATCAACACAGAACCATCTGTTGGTGGCATGTTGGCGGGTGTGTGTGTGTGTGTGGGGGGGGGTGTCTCCCTTCAGTCAGCTGGAAAGGTTGCCCATAACAGGGGCCTGTGGTGTGGGATTATGGGTACTCCCTCTGTGCAGCCATAGCTTTCATTCCTCTATGCTATAACAGAGGTCCTTCTCAGGCCTCCAATTTCAGTGTGGGCCATATGGGAAGCCTTGCTGGCTTGAGGAACCACAGGTGGGCCATGGGGAGTGTTGGACTGGTTCTTTAAGTGCCTTTTCTCTCTGTCCCTCTTTCAGATCTGCCTGGAGAGGTTGCGCAGGAGAGGAAGGCCTGAAGAGGACGGGGTTCAGCTGCGCTATCTGGAGCAGCTTCACGCGCAACATGAAAACTGGCTGGTGAAGAAGATCACTAAGTGAGTAGCTCGTCTCTCTTTCTCTCGCTCTTTGTGACTCACAGGCATTTGCTGTCCTCTGACCCTTTCTTTCTTTGGGGACCAGTTCTAAAGCTGTTGGGAGAGAGAACCAGAGGCTGCTGCAAAACATATATGTTGCAGATACAAAAACCATAACATGTACAGTTCTAAAATACTGCAGACCTAAAATGCCACAGTAATTTTTTGAACAACCTGGTAATACAAAGCAACACAGTGGGATTCATTTATTTGTTCATTTATTTATTTAACTATTTGTATCTTGTCCTCTATCTAAAAATCTCAGGTCTCAGTACAATAAGATTAGGAAAAGCAATTTAAAGCAGTGCCGACAATAAAATTATCTTAAAAGGCTAAAAGTGATTTAGCAAGTGATTTAGCAAGTTAAAAGAAAATAGAATAAAACCAGCTTAAAACAATTCAAAACCACAGATGTGTATCTCTCTGTATAAAACCAGTTAGGCTTGAAAGGCTTTTGTAACAATCCTGGCACCAGAATGGCATCAACCTAGATGGTTGGGAGGATATGCCATAAGTGTGTGTGGGGGTGTGTG